AGGTATACGATAAGTCATCATAAGTAATGAGGTTCCTTTCACAATTTTACCATTGTAAACAAGGTGTGGCGAAATAAATGTAGCTAAATATAGCTGTATCTATAAGCACAGCGGAATTTTTGAGCGCTCACTAAAAATCCAAACCCAGCTAAATTGTCTTTTTTGAGTAGATATCATTGACCTACCATCAAGTGTAGTTATGCAATCTATTACACTAAGATCACTGACTAATAATTTGCCTTGATTGATTTGATATTGTCATATATCAACAAAAATACTTGTGTACGTTAGATTAAAGCTTGATGTCGACCCAGTTGAAAACAAGATTGTTCTAGCAAATGTGTTGTTATAATTTATGTTATTTTTTATATGAAATTGGATTATCCAGCTGTTGATGCACAGGAGTGAAGTCTGATGGAGAAAATCTTCACAGAATGCGGATATTCCAACAGAAGCTGGTCAAATATAGCCTCAAATATCAACAACTGGATATCTCAATACTCTAATTTATCAAACTGGCTAACAAATTATGTTATATTCGTACGAAGAATAAATGAATATTAACTGCTAGGAATTATTTATGGACTAATGTTGCGTATATACTTAATTAATAATTATTAAGTAAATGGATTATATTTATGTTTTCGTATCCCTTTCATCATAAAATTTTGTTTGACCTATTGGCTACTGTTGTACGATTTACCATTCTGAACTTATTCCCAATCTATTAGTTACAACATCCCATACGCTCAACTAACTTTTGCTTGATCTTATGTACTTACTGCTTTGTATTTTATGGTGTGTTGCAGTCTGGTCTGCCTGTATATGTAACATGTATGCCTGAAATATAAGATTCATATAGCGGAGACCATATTTAAGTTTTGGTCGGAGCTGGTGGGGTCAAGCGGTAAGTTTCTATATAAAGGACCAGTAAAAATTGAGAGTCAACCCTTTGCCGCTAGTACTGGCTCAAGTGTCACTGGTTTAGCACATCAACAAGGTCATAGAAATCTGTATTCTGAGTGGCGATTTCGCCACGTAATTACCAATGGTCAATATGACATAACCGACTTTCTTCAAAAAAAGTCTTCTTGACCAAACATTTGATGAGAAAAGTCTAACTTTCGAACATTTTCTTCACAACATACTTTGATTATGACTGCAAAGTGTAGGAAAATCCGTAAAACTGCATAAATTGACAGCCACATTGGTCATCAGCAGAGTTCGAGTCGGATAAGTGTATTTTATGATCTAGTACACAGAAGGATGTTACGGGACAGTAACATTTTAGCTCTTTTATGTATTTTGTGTAGGTGACCATAAGTATAAACAAATTTCATGTAATGATTTACGATAACCTATGATTGGATCACTTGATGTTATTTTCGAAGCATCCCTTTAATGAACTAGGACATATTCAAGTCATCAGTCAAACGATTCATGCGTCTGTGCATGTATAACTAACTGATAGCAACTAATACTAAGCCTGTTGGACAGGTATTATGTACATTGACTCAGAATTTGTATTAAATTATCATGTCATCCAGCTCAACGCTTTGAAGCAGTTGTGTTTAATAGAATTTTTATAAGTTTGAAAAAAAAACGTTTTCAAATTTCAAAGAATGATTGTTGTGTATGTGCTTATCTATAATTCCTTTGCACATTATTCTGCGTCTGGTTAGAATTTTAGACAAAACTGTCAGTTGTGCTCAGAAAATTTTTCTCTATCTGAATACTGGTTCGTATGTGACCACTTCAATAAGAACATGACGTATCTGGGTACTATTGATTAGCACGCCGAATTCGACTTCTTTTGACTGTCACACCAAAGCATAAATTAATGAACAATATGTGAAAAACAAGTTTTTTGTTTGAAAGGCTGTCACATCGCGTATAACCACAGTTCATGGTTTATCTGTCTCATATTTAATTTCGTAATTTGACACTATTATGTGACCTTAGTACAGTGTTGAATAAAAGGTCGAAATACAAGATGTAGTGGAAATCTTCTTGTTTCATGCATTCAGTTATCAGCAAACAATCATGCATACGGAGATATGTAGACGCGGTATGAAGTTAAAACACTAGCCAAATGATTCTAATTAGGGGTTATTCAGATTACATCTAAAAATAGTTCGTGTATATAACATCATTGAACAAACAGAAAATTAGTCCAAATTATATGTGATGATAAACATACATACACAGAAATTCGTATATTAAAAACGCTCAAGGTGAATATGAGAATATTAGGACAAGACAAAAACAAGTGTACAGAATAAATCAATGTAGGCCCTAAAGAAATCTATTTAGGTTCCCAAAAATCGGCTCAAGATTCCTGAGTTGCGAGGAAAGCTACTCATACAATTGGTGAGTAATCAGTTGCATTTTAGTTCATATTTCTTGGACGTTGCATATCATCTATTTCATGAAAACACTGTAGAAAAGAATGAACAGGAAAACACTATTACCCAACCACCTACTGACGATTGATCCGACAAGAAACAAAAAAATCGATGATAATGTTAGGAGAGGTATATTTGATTGTATTAATATATATATATATATCTAAATGATGAGAAGTATTGCACTTTAGTTCGTGCGGTGATCTGCTGGTGGTAATTAAATTAGCACCTTCAGCTGAGTGTTCACAATATTAACTAGGCCAGTATCAGTATTTGGTGGTTACAAAGGTATTTGTTTTATGGACTGAATTACCGCTTACTTGCCTTATCACAGGTTTTAGATGGATAAAAATGCTTTCAAAGTTTAATAAATTCCGAAACCAACTCGAGAAGCTTGAAAATTTTGTTCTATAGATATATTAACTACTTTTAATAAAATATTATTTCGTTATAAAAGACTATTGCAAAATGGATAAAATAAGCATTTCTACTGCTATCCTCAAAAAAGCTTTGAGGTTCTAAGGATTTCAGGGTTATAACTTCGACTTTGGTTGTTTGTTACACAGCGGGTTTTGGAATTGAAGGTCACTTCGAGCAAGTTATTGATGCCTAACTTTAATTAGTCTGTATGGGGCATACCCTTATTGGTATTAAGTAATATTGACAAGTTAATATTCCCTATTTGTATTTCAGACTTAGAAAGTGCACTGGTGCTGATTTTCTGAGCAAATAATAAGAAGCCTCGAGATTTCGGGATTTCGTTGTTTTATGCAGGTTTGTTATTGGTTTATTTTGCAAACTATTGGTAGCATTTGCTTGATGTGTTTTCGAGGTGTTTCCAAAGTTGGTCTGGTTTGTAGATTCTTCGAAGTTGGACGGTTAAAATCATGTCTCTGTCAGGTTTATTAAGTTTATACGATCTATTACGTTTTGATCAATTAGTATAGAATTTTTTACTACTTTATTTAGGAAAGGCTAGTTTGTGCGTGGCGTTTTATTCTTTGACTCATACTTCATAAAGCAGCGATTTTGGAATTTATGTACTTTTTGGTCAGTTCTGTCAGTCATTCGTTAGTGTTGTACATGAATCTGTGATTGGTGAACTATCTCTATCTAGAGTTGTTCAATATCTAGGATAGACTACAGCCAGTGGTTCATTTTCGGAACGACTTCCAGTTTCGTTGAGGTAATTAATAATTTAACTCGACCACATGGAGATAAATGGGAACTTTCTAGCGAGGAAAATTTACTTTCCGATTATGTCACTTTCTGATGCTGTACAGTCGTATTTGTAGGTGATTTTTACCTGTATTAGTCTGTTTGGATACTCACCTACTATGCTAATACTCCCTTACATTGGATGCAGCTTAATGATAGTATTTATATCATAAAAACCTCGTAGAAAGAAAGGTTCAGACGAAAGATTAGATCACAACTATCGTCGGTTCGCATAAATAAATACATTCTTTTTACTTTATAGTTCATAATTGATATTTTTCAGTAGAACATGATCTTGAACTCTTAGTTATTAACATGATACATAGCATATAATGTTTTCCATACACTGTAGGAGATATCCGCTGTAGATTTAAAGTCTGCAAATCTTTTTTATCTATTTCATGTATTTAGGTTTTGCTTTAAAACTAGAATCATATTTCTATCGTATGATAGTAGTTAATTTCTATGGTATGCTGGAATTTACGTCTTGGATGTGACTGTCAGGTAGATTCGGTACTATACGGCAATTGAGCACTTGAAAATGCATTGATGAAAAAATTTTCTTCCAGGTTGGTGCCCATAAGATCATCGTAAACAATGCTTAGAGACTTTGGGTGACGGCTCAAAATCTTTAGTAACAGTTTAAGTGCATTCACTCTGTCTTCCTTTAGGTCCCAACTTTCCAAATTACATTAAAAATCTCCTTATTTTACCAGTCTGTTGTGTCCTCGATTCATAATCGCTTCTATTACTATTACTGTTACTACTTCTACTACTTTAGGATTTGGTCTGACAATCTTATCTCACTGTGCTAATGAGATGTAATAACTTGAATGAATGTGCACATGCCAGGTTCTACGTTGCTTATGGATGACTGTTTATGTTAAAGCCAAAAGGGTTCAGTAGCACGTCAGTGTTTGCAGATAACCCCTTTAATTGACCTCAAACAGTTTCGTATTATCAAGCCGACGAAAATTAAATTTTCAAGAAATCATAAGATTTTCAGTTGTTAACATCTCGTTGTATATTTATACTGGTACTAAAATAGAATGTAGTTATTACTCCGACGACAGCACCTTGTACTTGTAAATTAGACATGTTTTGTAACTCATATTCGCTTCCTATAGCTGCTTTTTATTTTCTGGGTAGTACTGAACTTTGGGTAGCTGAATATCACCAATTTTTTTTAAAGAAAGTATAAGAACTACTACCTTGTTACGGAATTGGATTATTTTATTGTTGTATCGTATCTAAAAGACTGTCATCTTTATAACACTTTCGCCTTTGATACCGTCAATGCTATTATTTTACAAGTTATTAAAATAAATTTGTAGCTTTCTAATCCATTTAGTTCATTACTACAGGTTCTTGTAAACAATGGATGATCGACCAGTTAGTGGTGGAGGCGCTTACAAAATTAATTGGGATGAAATTGATGAAATGTCAAATCCATTTGGAAGCGGTGGTAAAGGTCTCCTAGCTAAAAATCAACCTAAGTCTGTTACTAAACCATCAGCCCAAGGAGATCGCCCAAACGATAACATAAATCAACCAACAAACTTATCAGTTGACTCCAATCCTGAGAAACTACCAAAGAAATCTTTGCAGAACCCTCAACCGCTACCCAAACCTCTCCCCAAGTATAATAACCCTACTGAAGTCAAGCAATCCTTGAATCCCCTGTCGTCTGAAGCGTCGCCTGTGGTGGTGAACGGACAGGACGTGCCTAAAGACGTCCAAAAGGGAAATGTTCCTCAGTGTAATGGTGAACTACTCTCAACTCCAGGTAAGTGATGTTCCAAGATAAAAAATAACATCGGAATTAAATGCAAGTTTTAAGCTTTATTGATTGGCAGATAAGATGATACATCTTCTGAAGTTTTTTGCATGTCAAATCCTCAAGTCAACGAAACGCAAACGTAAAAATAATATAAAACTGGAATATTGGCTGGTTAGATATTTATGGAAAGATGAATTTAAGCCGTTAAATCATCAACATTTCTCCTCAGTCGTGTAGTTGAGTGCTTGATATAATTATTCGGGACCGTATGTTTGTGTAACAGTCTGCTGCGAGTTACCATCTAAGTAGTGTCATACAGTTGATATTCCTTGTCTACAGTTCCATCGAACCCGTTACAAGCATTCTGTTTGCTTTCGACTTTTAGGTTTACTAATCTTTTCGAGTTTCGCAAAATCATCCTTTTTACAAACATTGATGAATAAAAATGAATAAACAGCCTCCATCTTTAAACCAAATGAAGTTTCTATCATTACTGAATCATACTAGTTCGTTTGCTGGTGTGAGTTGGTATTAATCTGGGATGAACGATTGTCGATTCACAGTTGCACCATGATATTAACAATACCTGTTCGCTGGTTAGTGATAAATGAATTTATTCATGAAGGATTAATCAGATGACGTAGTTATCAAGATCAAACGACAAGGGATTTTTTAGCTCTAAAGATGTGTATAGTATTACTCATTGTCATTTGATCAGTTCATGGAAATATATGCAACTAGAATTTTCCCAGCTAGTCAGTCAATCACAACGTAGAATCTGTACCTATATACATCTGTTCAAGTTGCCATGCCTCAGTAGTCCAGAGACGTCAGGCCCAATCCCAGGATAGTAGAGGTAGTAACAGTGTCAGTAGTAATATGAAAGATTGGGAATCAAAGATACGACTAGAAGAGCAGATATAAATGAACAAAGTAAGAACAAAAACGTTATGAGGAATTTAGAATCTCAAAATTTGGGGGAAGACAAAGAATAGATGCACCTGCCCCATTGGGATTCTCCCACCGTCCCTAAAAATAAAAGATATGATCCGAGAAAATATAGGTTAATAATGTAAAACACTGTTTATGATGATTTTGAGAATTTGGATCTAAGGGAGAATAAAGAGTGAGTGAACATGACCTATGGTAAACGATTTTAAGATACGTCTTCCAAGTCATCTAACCACTGGTTACGCTTTTCGGATGGACCTAAACCAGATAGTGTGCACCTACTTAAACGGTTCAGTTCAACAGTCACTGACTTCATAGACTGATCTACTTAAGTTTTGCCTTTTTTTATCTATGTAGTTCTGCAATTCTATTCTCAAATTCAACACATATTCAATGATTAAACGTGTAAGATATCGCGAACTAGTGGATATTTCTAACCACTGACCTTAAAATGACAGTTACCGAATTATTACTTTTAAAATTAATAGTGTAAAGTAGCATCATTGCTTAGTAAAATTCTTTAGCTTAAAGCAGCAAATATACTCATGTTATAATTTAAAAAGACAAAGATTTTAAACTGTAGCTGAAAGATAAGAACTTTTCTCATGTTGTCTTGGTCTCGCGATAAAGAGTTTACTTAACTAATGATTAAAACTTGGTGATATCAAAGTATCGATTATATTGATAAAGTTACTGCTCAATAGTTTAACCAATTTTTGGCTCCAACTATTGCGCAAGAAGATTCGACTTCTGTTCAAATTAATTTTCAGCTTCAATTGTTGGATAGTATCCCTACCCCCCACATCCTGAAACATGAACATGTAGTTGATTATATTACGCTAGATTTCATTTGGTTAAGTAAATAGAGATTACAAGCAGTTTTTAATATTTTGACCCAATTTTTAATAATTCAATTATCTACCATTTATTATTGCATAGTTCCCCAATCGATCCCATCCCCTGAAGAGATATGTGAAGTGAGTTTACAACTTTGGATAAAACAATGTTTGGTGTGAACATTTTCTTGACAATTTTTGTTGTTATTGCAACTGATTACTCCTTGTTATGTTTATATACATTCATTTTAATAATAAATTGTATATTTAATTATTTTGATTGTCCAGTAATTTGTCTAACGAATTCTCTCTTTCTTCAATTAATAGGCGTTTCTAATTTTTACTTTTTCTGCATAATTTCAATGTTCTAAACTCTGGTTTTTGTTTTATTTATTTAACGATCGATAATTATTTTACTTCTAAATATAAGAGCAACAATTTGTACAGAGTGGTTTAACAACAGTAATTTCAACAAGCCAAGCAAACTTGAAATCAGTTGTTTATGATATCGATCAGTTACTTGGAGTCGTTCCCATTAGGCGGGTTGACTGAATCACCTCTACAAATATTGAACTCAAATCCTTAGTAGGCATAGGTTCAGGGGGTCATTTTAGGTACTCTGTGGTGTTGAGGGAGATCCCACAAGGTCTCTATGCACGTTGGCTAATGCTTTCTCATACTTATCGCAGGCCAGCAATCGTAGTGTTTCTCGACATCAGGGCTGTCTTCGATTTGTTGGACAGGACTGTCCTCTGGGGTTGTTTGTTGAAGAAGGGTGTGCCTGAGAAGTTTATTAACATCCTAAAGGCGCTATATACAAACACCTCAGGCAGAGTGAGGGCATACAACCACCTTTCTCCATTATTCCATTCAAGCAGTGGGGTTAGACAGGGTTGCCCAATCTCACCATTCCTCTTCAACTTGCTATCGATGACGTTCTGGAAACAGCTCTGATGGATGTAAGTAATAGCGGTGTGGATCTTTTGCCTGTAGAAGCGCTTCTCAACCTTGGGTATGCGGATGATATTGTCTTACTGTGCGATAATACCCAAGCCATGCAACTCACACTTAATCAGTTGGCAATTAGTGTCTGCAGGTATGGTGTGTGCATTGCACCTTCGAAGTGCAAAGTACTTCTACAAGACTGGCAGGATTCTAATCCTGTACTCACCCTGGGTAGTGAGCAGATAGAAGTAGTCGAGAAGTTCGTGTATCTAGGTAGCTGCATAAGTGCTGGTGTTGTATGAGTGATGAGATCGATTTGCGTATAGTGAAAACCAGAGCGGCTTATGCCAATCTGGGCAATCTTTGGTGCATTTATGATGTTAGTTTGGCGTCGGTGAGAGCAGTTTTTCTCTATGCTTGTGAACTCTGGCCTCCGAGTTGAGAATGTTAGGCGACTCTGTGTTCGACTGTCGTTTCTGAAGGATTGCTGACATCCGGTGGCAACACTATGTTAGTCATGCAGCGGTTCGGCATCATGTGTTCGGGCACAGCCACGATAATTCAATTGGTGTCACTATCTTGAAACATCGACTTCGGTGGCCTGGGCATGTTCTACGAATGTCATCCCAGAGAATTCCACGTCGTGCATTACTTGACGACGCTGGGACTGGTTGCGAAATGCGGAGAGGTGGTTAGTGTATGACATGGTGTCGTGGCATGAAAGAAAGCTGCAAAGGGCTGGCTTGTGTTGGTCCTTCATGACTCCGTGGCCGGGGTCCTAGAGATGGTGCACCACAGTGGCTAGAGAAGTTATCAGATGCGGCTCAGAATAGAAGCCAGTGGTGATCCTGCTATAACCTTCTTTCACTTTCTTCATAAAAAGTGGTTGTAACTTCCTTAACTGAAAGAATACTTCTGCTTGTACCTTAACGTTTCCCCCATTATTATTCTTTTTATTATTATCACACTACCATACACTAATCTGTGGTCGTTATTGTGTATTTTTCTTATATGCACCTTACCTTCTTTTTCTCTTCCCATTCTCATTGCTTTGTGTGGCGCATATATATCTGGTGCCCCTCTTGTACCAATTTTTATGTGTTCAGATAAATAAATAAATTCTCATGATCAAGTATTCTACCCACTTGTTCCTCTGCTTCTCATCCTCAGTGATTGGTTTCCCTTCCTTATTCCTGACTGATCGTTCAGGTTTACCATATTTCCCTACAGACTTAATTGTATTATGTGGTTTTCCATATTCCCTTCTCTTACAGTCTTTCTATTATATTTACCGGGTCTTGCGCCTTGTTCCACTGATCAACTTTATTGCTGTTTGTTACTCGCTTGTTCGTACCTGCATTTTCCAACTTTATACTCGACCCTCCGCGTTTACCTGGGCTTGGGATCTGGTTTAACATTATTAATAGTAGTAATCAGCTTATCCGTCCGGTGCTTGGGTATGTACCATACTCTAGTTGTGAGGCAAGGTTCCAACCTAAGATGCAGTAGCTGAAATTCGAATGCATTAGCCACTAATCTACAGTTACCGTGAGTAACCCTAGAGGGGATCCAGATGAAGTGTTCGATTAGTTAATTAACGACAGTCCCGAAACAGTAAAACTTACATCGACAAATAACGAGTTAAATAAAAGTTCATAATTAAAACAATATAAAAATTTAAACCAGATATTTAGTAATTACATAAAAAAATATGCAAATTAATTCCCCCTACAATAGTTCTAAAGGTTCAACCTTTCTCAAATATTCGATCCTTTGAAACAAAGAAGCATTACTTATTTAGTCAATAGGATTTTCGAGTAAAAATTCCTTTTAACGTTTTGCCTACATACTCTAGATCATGAACTTATCAAGGTACTATTATTGATGTATTTTAGTAAGTCCTCATGTGTAATTTTCCGTTATAATTACCGTAATAATAATTTTTTTTCATCTTTTGTTTTTTTGATCGACTTTCGTTGGTTCATTTCAAATCATTTGTGAATGAATGGAAAATGCAAATATTACCAATGCTAATGTTTCAAAATATCCAAGGCATTACAAAGTGTTATTGGTAAGTTGAAAAATTCATCGCGCTTCTCTTTAAGGGAAAATTTTGTGTTATTGAAGTGCTTTTGTCTTCTAATAGAGATTATTTGAAGGTTAACTATTCAGCTTACAATCAGGTCTTATCATATTTTTTTTACCTATAAATGTAGTGGTGAAATATTCAATTTTCACTCATTGGAATGCAAACTCGAACTCGGATTTTTCACTTTAAACAGCTGAATAGTATCACAAAAGTAGTATACAAAAACGATTAGATATTTTTTTGCAGTTTTATTTAATCGCGCAAAGAAACTGTCTCAATTCATTAGTCGGTCTAATAATTTGAACACTTTAGTAATTGAATTCACTGAGTCATATTGTTTTAACTCATTGGTTTGTTATGATTAGTTTTGTTAACTTTATCAAGATCTAAGTTCGAATTGGCGCATTTATGTTTTGTATAAATCAATAAATTGTTGAACTATTAAGTTACTGAATTAAAAATTTCCACTTAATTTGAAAAACAACCTTCACAACAGGTACGGCCGAGAGTGGGAAGAGTCCGCTCTCCCTCTCGAAATGCTCTCATATGGCCACGCGTATACAGCCCCTGCCAGGGAAGTCCTACTCACTGCCTTCTCGTGGCGGGGGTGTTGTTTACAAAAATGAGAGGACGAAAAGCGAATGTCCGGCGCTATAACCGGATCCCAAACCAATGGTGTACATGGGCTCCAGTATCTTGAGGGAACAAATGGCGTATGAACCAATCGTTGGTCACCGGCTACCATGGGACTGCATCTCCTCACGATGCTCCACTGCCTTGTGGATCAGACGTTCAGGTCAAAGGCTCGGGGTGTGGCCCCCTAAGAAAACCACCTGCTTCGGTTTGGGCACCCGGGCAGTGTCATAGCCCTCACACATATCAAATGAGATCTGTGTGGCGCATATGTATTTGGTGCCTTCTTGTACCGATATCTATGTGTTAAAATAAATAAATAAATAATTAGGAGTCATACATTCAGTAATATTGAACAAATATTTCCTTCTTTTCAAGGAATATACAGAGCATGTATTTAGTTTTCTCTCTCAATTAATCTGTTAACTCGTAAATTTTGCAACAAATACATAGTGAACAAGTGACTTTTTATTATTAGTTCTAGAGAATGCATTTGACCTATTGATTAGTTAATCGTGTGATGTAGACCCGACAATAGGAACCTCATTTAGAAATATTCCTCTGATAATTAACTAGTGTTATTTTATTCTCTAATACATCTGACTGAGTTTGATAGTTAATCAATAATTCAAACCGGTTGTTCATCTTCTTACTGGTTTCAGGCATCTGGTTAGCATAATTAATTCTTGCACAAGTAATGTAATTCAAATCTGAGTGAATGAATTTATCTATGCTTGATTATTATTGAGTTAATTTAGTAGTTAATTTTTGATGTGGCAATTAATCATTAATTATGTATGAATAAGTGATTTTAACAGGAATATTAGTAATTAACAAATAAGCAAACAAGATAGCGATATATTGAGTGTTATAGATAATCAATGTTTTTGATCTTAACCTGATTCTAATTTCAGTTCTATCGGTCTATATCTATTACAAATGAATGAACATAAAATCTGTGTGTAGACTCATAAATCCTCTAAATTTATTGACAAATACTATATTGACATTATGTGTCACATACCTTATTTTTTATTCACATTTGATAAATATTCTCAGTAGGTGTGAGTGAATAGTTATGTTTCGTATCTATCCTGTTTAAATGAGCATCAGGTTAAATTTAGTGACTTTTTTAAAAGACAATTTTTATGCTATACAACGTATGACTTTGACTTTTAATGTGATGTGCTGATGAGTGACCAATGATTATGTAGAGGATAGTTAGTATCACATGGTTTATTATTACTATTATTGTCATGATAATAAGTGCGGTAAATTATTTGCTTTTAATAATCTGTTAGTTATAATCATGATTCTTTTAGGTGACTTATTATTGATTATTTTTTTCTGGTAAATGAGTCATTCGTTTATTTAGTTAATTACTATTTTATCAGGTCATATACACTTGTGTTGTAGCAACAAATGTCACCTGAAGTTAGTTTTGTGTTGTGAATTAGAGATTAGGACGATTAACAAATGAATTCCAATTCGATTAGCTCTGTGATAATTGTAATAAACGCTTCACATTAGTGATTGATTTTTCTAACTATCGGACATTATACACCAGAAATAGAACTTAACCTTACTGGGGCTGAGGATCCAAACTCTCACTTTCATAGGGACTAGATATAATTTCTAATCTCGTATTAGTTTCGAGTTACTGCTTCTATTACTGGTTACTTTAAAAAAAAATGTGGTTTATATTTGCAAAATTTCGATAGATATTTTATCATATTAGTATACTCTAATTATACGCCCCTCTAGATGTCATATTCAGCTTAGCTTTTCTTTGTCAATTCTAAATTCAGCAGAACTTGCCGTTTTCGATTATTGTTAAACAGATTGTGTGTCAAACGTATTTTATTATTGATGGCTATAACTTTTTACTAAGTAGATTATTAGGCAATGTGTAGTGATTGATTGACTTTAACGTGCTGTAACTCAGTTAGTTCAAAATTGTTCGAAGTTTGTGTCACATATTTCAATTCCCTTTAATCTTCAGTTGGGTGAATTTCACTTAAAAAAGCTGAGCAGATCGATGTATACTTGTGTACTGAGGTGGATTATTTAGCTAATCCAAGTGTAATATGAGTTAATAAAAACCAAAGTAAGACTAGATAAAATTGATAATTATAAACTCACCATAGTTGAAAAACGAAAGCTGATAATCAAATGTCTAAACGAAAACTGCAGTTGAATTTTTGCTACCAGTAAAAAGATGCATCGTCACTACAGAAACGATCATGGGAATAGAGAAATAGAAATCATGAAAACAGACATATATGCATGTTCAATAAAAGACTGTCTAAAAGTGTATAAAACACAAAGATGACTGATAAAACATACCATCCACAAAAATTAAATGAATTTAAACAGAAAAGGACGGAAAATAAGCAAACAGAAGACCCTGGAGTCTCGGCGATCGTGGAAAACAACAATAAAAACAACGCAGATAGTCATTTAAGTAAAATGACGTATGAACAACGCATAAAGAAACTACTAACATGGAAAGGTATGGTTAATCATTGCTATGTGGTTCATAAATGGTTTGCAATCACTGGATCGGAAATAAGTAAAAGCAAGATCAGGACAAAAGCAGATATTGATCCCCGGTAGTTGTACCGTGTCATCAGTGAGTGTTCAGATAAGCTAATCGGCTTCACCAACCTATATATATGCAATAAAAATAGTACCGAGTTCCATTATTCCATTGGTATTTACCGTTTATATGCAGAATAAATTATTATTTAGTTGTGAGTGTTGATTATTCATTTAAGTTTATTGTTCAAACTGTATTCGAATACCACAGTTGAATGGTATTTTCTGTTTGTGATCTTAGAACTTTAGTGAAGTCATGTTAATAAAAGTTTTATCTTATAAAACAATCATAAGTTACGCACAAGGAATTATTCAGAAATGGAAGTAAAGTAGAATTCATAGGGATCAATATTCAAGTTGAATTTTACTTATCTGTTTCATTTGTTAAGACGAAATATACGTATACATACATCCATTAAAATGGTAATAGATTGCATATTCAGTCATATACTATGAATACAAAAATAGGCAATCGTTAACCATATAGAATTCTGTATGAATATGTGTCCTTCCAAATTGCCACATTTCAAACTAATGCAGTGAAAGACATTAAACTAAAATGCGATGAAATGAACATACTGACACTAACAATAAAGTATTGAATAATACCAAACTTAAGACAATAAAAATTAGGTATTGTTAATGTTAGTTGTGAGTTGTCTAGTATTCCTTATCGATTGTATTTCAGTTGACTTGTCCGAAATAAGAACAATGATGAAAGGAAAACAAGATATATTTTGGATAACCGGGACAACAAGAAATGCAGTAGTAAAAATACAGGGTTTTTCATAGATCTTGCAGGTGAGACTTTTAGTATGTTATCGGTCCCGCTTCTAGCATTGACTGACTGAAAATCGGACCAATCAGAATATTCCGATCTGAGCTCAGGCTGAAAATGTAACCGTCAGGATTTTATCCAGCTAAAAATCGATAGTTACTTACTGTCGACTTAAGGGTGTGATTTGGTTTTATTGAAAGCGCAAAGAAACAGTAACATAATGTTAATATTTGGTTGCGATTAATAGTGAATGTTGGGATAAATAGTTTATCTCGGATATATCTTCTGGGCATATATCTTCCACAAGGTTTTCTGGTGTACGTAAAAATGGGGAACTTTTTTGTTTGGTACTTAAATCACTTATTACTAGTTCCAACTTATTTCTATTACCTGGCTTTAGGTAAAGAATTCTTATTGTTGTGGTGTTGTTTGAAGGATCTAGAGGTTATAGTAAGTTAAAAAATGTTCTCTGCAGAGAAGAGATGCCCTCATTTTGTGTTCTCATCATGATGGGTAATGTGTGACATGGGATTATTACTCTTGATTTATATTTACACCTAATCTCTTAGTTTACAGAACGTTCAACATTATGACGTGTTGAATTTATCGGAATATATTAAAATCAAAAGAAAGGTACCAGTTGCATGCATTTTTTAGAATTACTTTAGTACTAAAGATTTGATAGACTTACTCGGATAGCAGAAAACAATTAGTGTTCGTTTATGAAAGATTTCAGTTTGTTCTTGATGGGTATTCTCAACCGTAATAAGCTGCGGCTGGTTAATAAACATGGAGAAACCATATCCTCTTTTTTAGATGTTTTTCCTAATTGTCATGATATTTATGTGTTAGGCAGGTTGTTAACGTTTTCTTTATTTGACTTAGTTGAACGAATGAAAGATTAGTCATCTTGCCTAAGTATTTATTATAGGTGCGTGACAATTGTTCATATGTAACAGGATCATTCCCGTTA